GACTTCAAAAACCACTGGACTTCACCAATAATTTTTGCTGAAGAAAGGGGGATAATATCAATTTAAGACGTGTTATCAACTATGCACTAACTATTGACGCATCGTTATTATGTAGCATACTAGTAAGTTTGAAAAATTACTCATCAGTGTGATCAGTCAGTTGATAAAAAGTCATTCAGTTATGATAAGATACAATCAGGTAAATACATAAGTTAGCTTAAATCTCCATACTACATCAGTATAACGAGATGTAGTGAAAAAGATCAATGACAATGGAATCGAAAATAATGTAGCAACAAAAATAATCCGAATGACTGAAATTTGAGTCTATAATTTGAAAAGGGAGTGGAGAATTATGCATGAAGGAATATTGGAACATAAAATTTAGTTCAAGATAGAACTGAATAAATCTGCAACACTATGACTTATGCCGGCCCATATCACTCAATGTTTACAATTAACTGATAAAAACTAGATATTTGATTATGGGAAATTAAAAAGTCTACTACTGTTTTTCATGTGAATCTATTTCTCAAAGTATGACACGATTGGTCATTACACTTATCATGAAATGATTGTTTGTATACATTGGTATTTTGAACAAAAACTAAGCATAATAATCGAATGATAAAAAACTGAAAAAAACTAGTTAACGTTTATGATATATATATGTGTTTGAAAACGATATAACAAGTAAACCTCTAGTCCTTCCTTTGTTTTAAAAAATCTCAATGTTCATTTAAGTACAGAATACAAAAAACGACCATAATTTCTATGTGATAATATTATCTATACTGAATAAAACCTGCTGAGATACCGCTTTACTCTAGATTATTATGTACTCTCACCTAGTTCTCTCCTACCATATTTACTAGCTGCCATATATTTATAGATATATGAATGTAACATACAAACTCTGCATGGGGCATAACGCGGTAGGACAGAAAATATATAACAAATTTTTTTTGATCTAAATATCCATGTTACCCAAGATAGAAAGTTGTTTTTAAAAATTCTTAACTAAAAAAAAATATTTGCATAGTTTCCGTCCATATAACAACAATAAACTATTCATACAAAAATTAATTGTGTCAAATATTGGGAAATCTTTTATCGAAAACCTTGATCAGTTCATAAATAAATTGTAAGGGAAACAAATTCTCTTTGTGGTACTATTAGAACTGCTTTTTTGATGAATGTTAACCTTAATGAATATCTTCGGTAAATTGTTGTTGATTTCATCTGAATAAATTTATCTTGCGCAATGATAACAGAAAATCATCACTCCCCACCTCCAACATACTGCTGTTTTACTAATTTTAATTATATAAAATCTTTGATATATGATAAATATATATATTTCTCTGCCCATATTGGTAAATATGCTTGCGCGTATCCATATGTAATCAACCACCCAATTGTTTACAGTATTCACTTAAGGGTTTTAAATTGATTACGTTAATCAGTAAGTTGTATTTCCCACTCAGTTTATGTTTAAATAACTTCAAGATGTAGTTATCTTTGTGTGTGTGTGTGTGTGTGTGTGTGGATGAATCATATCCCACCTTAGAGAGGGAGGGTGAGAATAAATAATCAACATAAAACAAACAATTCATATCTTTACATTGACCATTAAAGCCGAAAAGTGTAATAATAAAAATATATAAAGACCGCGAAGAACTAGGCTAAGGTTTTGACCTGACATGGAACGCCTCAGCAGCGAGCATCCGTAATGTTACTGAGGATCGAACGCAGGTTTTGCAGATTTCGTGATGAGAGCTTAACCGTACGAGTCGGTGTTCAACAGCGAGGTGGTTACCAACCGAATATGATGAAAGATGTTTGCATAATACCGCGAAGTGATTGAATATAAACATATATCCTATTAGATGTTGGCTCAACAGTCTAATGATTAAGCTCTAGCTGTGATAACTGACAGTCCCAGGTTTAATCCTCCAGAGATCGTGAACGCCCAGTGCTGAGAAGTTCCATACTAGAACGAAATAACAGTTTAGTGTTTCCTTAAAAGTACAAATCAAAACTGATACATTACAAAATATGTTGTCTATAATAACCTATCGATATATATTAATGCAATTTCATTTCATTAACTACAATATGTATTTTATTATGGTTTATTATGATTTGTATATGTGTAGTGATATTTATCAAAGAAAAGTTTAGAATATTACATTTTATACACTTTCTAAAATTATAAAAATATATATTCTTTGTTCAAACTTGTTTCATTCAAGTAATTACCTTTTTTTTCATTTTGATGAAAAGCAACAAAATATATATCCTTAAGTTAATAATAATAAAATGTACAATGAATCCATGAATAATATTAAAGAGATGGTCATTTTACTAATCATAAAGTTTGAAGTTTAAGAAAATCAATAACAATGTATCATTGGGAATGTCATTGTCACTAAACAGTTTCACAAATGATATTAAGTGTATGAACATACAATTCTTGATTATTAAGTTGTATTATTCACTCTTTTACATTAAAAAACATGACTAATGATGAAAGAAATAGAAAAAATAAACTGAAAATGGTTGACTTCATGCAACCTCAAGTGGTGTCCGTCAAAACTGTCCACTTTCTCCATTTTCGTTTAACTTCATCATAGACCTACTGATGGAAATAACATTCTCGTCGACTGAATTATCGGGTATTGATCTCCTTCCAGGAGGTCCACTTATCGCCTTAGAATACGCAGATGACAGTCCTGTTTGGTGAAGACGCTGATAAAATGCAGCCTTTTGGTAGCACTGGGTAACAAAGCCAGAATGTTTGGAATGCGCTTCTCTCCCTCTAAATGCAAGTTGTTGCTTCAGGACTGGACTGCGTCAACATATGAACTAAGGATAGGAGTGAAGTAGTCGAACGCGTCGACAACTTCACTTATCTTGGAAGTCTGATCAGCCCTAATGGGTTGGTGTTTGACGAAATCTCAACACGGATTCGAAAAGCTCGTTTGGCTTTTGCCAACTTACGTCACCTATGGCGAAGGCGAGATATCCGTCTACCAATTGAAGGACGAATATACTGCGCAGCAGTTCGTTCTGTTCTACTTTACGGCTGAGAAACATGGCCATTAATTGTAAAAGATACTCGTAAGCTACTAGTATTTGACTACAAATGCCTTAGAAATATTGCTCACATCTGTTGGGATCACCGGGTATGCAATAGTGAGATTAGACGCAGGGTATTAGGGAATGACGGTAAATCAGTTGATGAAGTTGTGAATCTTCATCGACTGAGGTGTTTGGGCCACGTGTTACGTATGCCTGAATACCGATTACCACGACGTGCAATGTTAACGGGTGTTAGAGATGGTTGGAAGAAGGTTAGGGGCGGCCAAACCAAAACGTGGCATCAGTGCTTGAAGTCACTAACTTCTAGTCTGAGCCATGTTGGTAGATGCAGTCTACTTGGTTGGGGTCCGCGTGACTATCGTAACCAATGGTTGGAGACTCTTTGTGACATGGCTCAGAATCGATCACAATGTCGTCGGTGTATACACTCTCTATCTTCCCTTAAACTAAGAGATTAAAATTGCTTCATATCTTTCTTTCTACTAACCAATTCTTTCTTCCTGGACTGTATCCTTATATGCAATCTTTCTCCTATATATTACCACCTTTGACCTAACCACTCCTATGAATCCGGTGTTCATCTCGCTGTGCTAATGAGGTATGGCAACCTGGACCGATGCATATATTTGCCTGGTCCTACGTTGTAGCTGACTGACTGCCTGACTGTATTTAGTTAACACAGTGATAACGTATCAGATGGAGCAGCTGAGCAACTTGAATTCTAATTCACCAAAGAGCGTTAGTTCCCTCCAAGATTATAAATACACTTTGTTGATTAGTAAAAACTAGTGCAAAACCTAAGTCAAGAAACGTTTCCTATTGATGACTTTTAATCACCTAACATTTAAACATAATGAATATAGTTTTTAGTCACTTGCACAAATGGACACATCTCAACTTCACTGAGAGAATTTGATGAGCACCAAGAAGGACCTGATGACACTCATAACAATGGTCACTACTCAATGATCAACCACTTGTATACTAAATACTAAATAAGTCCCATACACAATTTTACATAGTTTACCTAATAAACATTCGATGGTAACTATTTGAAAATAAACAGTTAGAAGCACTACAGCTTCTCAATGCTAATCGGCATTCATTGACCGTTTCAAGAAAATGCATTTTACCTTTCATCAATGTAGAAGCATTAAATACTGTATGAATGTTTAAAGCAATAGATTAATGCAAAAGTAACACTATTGTTTATTCGGTAACATATATGTACCATAATTTTCTAGTATGTCTGTGTGGTCCCCCTCATCAAAAAAATACATAAAAGAATCATATCATTACAACCTTAGAAATAACGACAACAACAATTCTAACCGAGTTCTACTTTTTTCTTTGTTTGACAAAATAATTAATTGATGAGTTACTTTTCTAAAAAAAAACTAGAATGAACCTTTTTTGGGATTTCGACCAGTACCATTAGAACAAAAATCAGATAGTGAGCTCAATTTCACACGACTTACTTTTATTAATCATGTACTGTGTGCTAAGCCAACAATTTTTTCCACAGTTAAAAATAATAATTTATAGATCAGTAAATTTCTAGTAACTTCACCTGGAGCCGCCTCTGGAGCTACTATAGTTCTCGAGCCCGAGTAACAGATGGAGGTTGAATGTAAGAATAAAAAATATACTACCTCATAAACAAAGAACTCCGTTATAGTATCGTGAATCGTTAGCTTTCAATTACTGTAACTTGTTTTTCATTTCTAACGGTTCATGAATAACAACATCTGATGAGAATAATTCAGTCGATACTTACAATATGTAGCAATATATTTTTTGATAGTAAATGTAGCTTATTTTCAACCTGAATATACTATTTTAAAAAAATAAGTCTTGTACTTTTTCACTAAGTATAAGAGATATAAATTACTTACCGTTTTTCTGTTCCATATGATTTTTGAGCAACTTTTGCATGAAGTATGATTAGAATTTGATCCCGTCGATCAACGAGATAGGCTCTCATCATATCTCTCGTCAGTATACTTAATGATTCACAACAACCGGTATCTGTAGGAACAGCGATAATACCGCCACCACTTTCACCACTACTCATGGTGGCTATATTTGAACTATCAGCTTCTTTCGATCGATTAGATAACAATGTTGATGATGAAGAGCTTGATGGGAAATTCATTAAATTCTCTTCAGTTTTAAGTAGTAATGATGTTGACTGTAAAATATCTAATTGAATATTGTTTGTATTTTCACCTTGATCTATTCTACTCCTGTTGCTTTGATCATAATTTTCATCAAATATTGGCAAATTCAAAGAATTTAGTGATTCTCTATATAATTTATTACTATTTGTATTTTTAGTAGTACTACTAGTAGTAGTGGTAGTAGTAGTATTGATAGTACCATTGTTAAGAGTGGTTTCGATGGTAGATTGACCATTATTATTGTTTATTAGTAAATGATTGGAAAGATTGAATAATCTGTTCTGATCGAGTTGAAATTCTTTTAATGATGTTAAAATAAGTGGATTATTATGATTAGTATTAGTATTGCCCGATTCACATGTATTCAACTGGAATGTTTTATTAAATTGTGTAAAATCATTAGTTAATTGTTTACTATTATTGTGTTCATTAGAATTTCTGTCTATTTGTTGTAAAGAAGAATTCATATAAGTCTCTGAACATGATGATGATGTTGATGATGATGATGATTCCGATGATAATGATGATCTTGGAGCAAATTGATTATCTAAAGATAAATGATTCACTAAATTTTCTGAAGGTTGAACTCGTGTATTGAAAAAATCAATATGATCTGAATTGTTAGCCCGATCTTGTTGCTGAAGTATTTGTTCTTCTTTGTCGATTATCTTAGACAATTGTCGATCATGTAATAAACTGTCAGGAATAGATTGATTTTTCAATTTATTACTGAAAAATAAACAAAGTCCCTTTCAATATCTAAAAAATTATTTTGATCACAATTATAATTTCTAATTTATGTAAATACCATTCACTACTCACACAGGCTAATAAACTTTTAAAACATTACGTCTTGAATTAGGTTTTAAGGGGGAAAACAGTTTTACACTTAAATATAAGTCGGCCATAATTATGAGACAGTACTTTTGTAATAAAGAATTATCAAGGTGACCTGACGATATATACACAAATATGTATCACCGTTTATTCTTCGGAGGTCACGAGGCCGATGACCCTTCGAACAACCAGACCAACAATTTTTATAGGTACATCGAACATCTGATCAATGTGGGAGATCGGGAGGACCAGTCAAATAGCAACGGTAATGAGGAGATACAACTTGGCATTACTCGGAATCCGCGGAACCCATTTGTCTCAAGCTGGACAGGAAAGGTTAGATACGGAAGAGATGCTGCTGTACTCCGGTCACGAAGAGGAAAATGCTCCACACATTGAGGGACCTGCTCTGATGTTGTCCAAAGAAGCACGTAAAGCACATATACGATGGGAATCTCATGGACCCAGGATCATCAAAGTATCTTGAAAACAAAGAAGGAGGAAATCACTATGAATGTGATCCAGTATTGTGCACTCACCAATAATAGCAACAAAGACAATAAGGATCAGTTCTATGAGAGGCTTCACTCGATCATAGTGAAGTTCCAAAGAAAGGATCTCACCATCCTGACGGTAGACCCAAACGCCCCAAGTTGGAATGGATAACACCGGATATGAAGATATCATAGGACGACACAGAGTGGGGAGAGAGAAACAAAAGTGGGGAGAGGCTTGCGAACCAATGTGCATTCAACAAACTGGTTATAGACGGCACAGTATTCCCACACAAACTCATACACAAAGCTTCGTTGGTCTCATCAGATCACACCACGAAAACCAGATATGTCATATTTGCATCAATAAAAAATCCACAAGGTCAATGGAAGACGTGAGAACCAGGAGAGGTGCTGACATAGCCAAGATCACAGCCAAGATGAAACTGAAGGTGAAGGAACACTCTAAAACTTGGAAAACAGCATTACAAAGGTTCAATATACCCTTCCTTCGACATACTGTCAAACTCAGCCAATTCAACATAGCTCTCACCAACAGTTTTCAGGTCTTGCAGGATATGCAAGAAGAAGAAACTACTATGGAAGACAACTGGAAAGGGATCAAAGAAACACTGACTTCAACGTGTTAAGAGATTCTGGGCCGCAACAGGCATCATCATAAGGAATGGATCTCTATCGAAACCCTGGACGAGATTCAAGAAAGGGAGAACAAGAAGAGAGCAATTAACAACATCCGAACAAGAGCAAAGAAAGTCAAGGCACAAGCTGAATACACCAAAGTAAACGGGCAAGTGAAGAAAAGTATTAGAGCCGACAAGCAGAAATACGTGGGAGAGCTAACAACGACAGCGGAAAAAGCTGCAAGAGAAGGAAATAGGAAACAACTAAATGACACGACGAAGGAACTGACAGGGAAATATAATAAACCATAGTGATCAGTCAAGGACAAAGAAGGGAAGCTAATTACTGAGATTTAATAATAGAGAAAAAGATGGGTGGAACACTTTGAAAATCTCTTGAATGGACCAGCCACATTGAACCTATCGGACATCAAAACAACACACACAGACCTTCCTACATATGTCACTCCACCAACGATCGAAGAGATCAGTATGGCCATCACACAAATCAACAGTGGGAATGCAGCATGACCTGACAATATACCAGCCGAAGCATTAAAATCACATAGAAGTAACTACGCATGCTTCACTTTCTATTTAAAAAGATTCAGGAGGAGGAACAAGTGCCGATAGACTGGAAAGAAGGACATCTCATCAAGATACCAAAGAAAGGAAATCTGAACAAATATGAGAACTACAGAGGAATCACCTTACTGTCAGTACCAGGAAAGGTTTCTAGCAGTGTTGCTGAACCAGATAAAAGATTGAGTAGACGCCCAACTTCGAGATCAACAGATTGGATTCCGTAAGGACCAGTCGTGCACAGATCAAATCGAGTCACTACAGATCATTGTTGAACAATCAATTGAATGGAACTCGTCGCTAAACATTAACTTCATTGACTATGAGAAGGCGTTTGACAGTGTAGATAGAAGAACATTATTGTAACTTCTTCGACACTGTAGAGTACCAACTGAGATCGTCGGCATTATCTGGAATTTATACGACTGACTACAGTGTAAAGTGGTGCGTGGAGGACAGTTGATAGATGCATTTCAAGTAAGGACCTTTGTCATAAAAGGCTTCTTACACCCCCTTCCTCTTTCTTCTGGTGGTCGACTGGATTATGAAGACTTCCGCATTTGAGGGAAAACACGGAATACAATGTAGAGCTCGGAATCAATCAGAAGATTTGGACTTCGCAGATGACCTGGCCCTCTTATTACACACACGAACAAATGAAGATGAAGACAACTATAGTAGCAGAAGCCTATGCATCAGTGAGCCTCAACATACACAAAGGAAAAAGCAAGATCCTCAAATACAACATGGAGAACACCAACCCAACCATACTTGATGGAGAAACTCTAGAAAATGATAGGAAATTTCACGTTTCTGGGTAGTATCATCGATGAACGTAGAGGATCTGATGTAGACGTAAAGGCAAGCACTGGCAGAGCAAGGACAGCATTCCTACAATTGAAGAATATATGGAACTCAAAATAACTACCAACCAATATCAAAGTCAGGATCTTCAATACGAACATCAATATAGTTCTGCTGTATGGAGCTGGAACCTGGAGAACTACTACAACCATCATCAAACATGTAAAAGTATTTATAAATAGTTGTCTACTCAAGATACTCAATATCCGTTGGTTGGATACAATCAGCAATGGCCTCATGTGGGAGAGAACAAACCAGCTTACAAATGCAGAGGAAATCAGGAAAAAACAATGGACGTACTTTGGACACACATTTAGGAAATCATCAAAATTCATCACGAGGCAAGCGCTAACTTGAAATCCTGAGGGGAAATGGAAAATTGGTAGTCCGAAGAACCCACTACGTTGGGAATCTGAAGCAAACATGAAAAAGATGGATAACAACTGGGAAGAACTAGAGAGGATTGCCCAGGACAGAGTTGGATGGAGAATGCTGATGAGCGACCTATGTTTTTCCATCAGGGGTAACAAGCGTAAGTAATATTCATACCAATCTGTTTATGATAAATAAGAGGTGACAATGCTGTTCAGTCAATAATCCTAAGACTGTTCCAGAATTAAGTCGCCAATATGACAGTTATGCTGTGTAGTAAAATACTGGAATGTGTACGTTTTCCTTTTTTCACTTTTAATCACGAACTGAGTTTAGGTAGACTTTCATTGAAAATCAGAAAACACTTGACAGCTATTTCATCACAGTATATGAGTCCTCATAAGTGCGTATTCCCGAAGCCATCATCAAGAATCGAACCAAGGACATTCGGTCTGGTGCCCACACGCTTAAATTCTAGATTATTGAAGTGTCACCCATCGGTTTATATGTCTTAATTCAATTAATTCACGATATCCAGTTACCATCTTCCAATGTCTGAGGAAGATAAATGTTTCACATCTGAGATGATTAAACTCTACTGGTCACGGTTTCTCGCTAGAATCCTAGCAATTACATCTTGAAGTTAGTCACTCGTGAGAATATGATTATTACCACTATAAGGTCTTGTGGAGATTGTAGAATTTCCATAGTTTAAGTCACGAACTAATCCTTTTCACAAATCACTATATATATATAAATTTACTTGAGACGCTTCAAAACACGAGCAAAGTTTTATGTGAACAATCTCTTGCTAACTATTTATTTATTTTCTGTATTTTTATGTCTAAGACAGTACATAAAATGTGATGCCCAACTAGATCACTAAAATGAATCAACTTCAAAGCACACACACACACACATACGCATAGACAACCAATACCTGGACTACTTATTGACTAAAATAAATTTCTCACACTATGTATATAAGCCAAATTTATTGAATGATTTTTTTGTGTATAGTTTTATATGATATAACTGGATTAGTCATGAACATAATTAACTAGAAAAACAATAACCAAAATACTACGTTCAATAACCTAAATACTAACGTACTGACTAATTATGTTATCTATGTACTACAGAAAAGCTAAAAACAAATCACAAATACATTCACAATGTAGTATATACGCATAAATTTGGTAAAGTAATTTGGCTAGTTTACAAATTAATTCACTTTTTTAATGGTGAATATATATATGCTTAGTAAATGTTTTAAACCGCTAAGGTATTGCAGAGAGAAATGTATCTAAATTATTCGCAATATACACTAAAATTTACCTTCAATAAGTAGAACCCATAGAATATAGTCTATAAAATCTTATTAAAACTCTTATCTGTAAGACATGAAGGAAGACAATGACTTTGAGAGAAAATTGGGTCAACAGTAAGTAAATACAACTAATCAAGGAACTTTAGGTCTAGAACGTGACAGAAATCGAGAAAGCTGTGGCTATCTGTAACGTCTTAAATTCTCAATACGTGTTTGTGCACAGCACTTTCGATAACTTTTCTCATTTAGCAGGTAACGGCTACATATAAAGGTGTAATTTCCACTGAAGATATCATTTCAAGGCTCTGAAAGTATGCGCAACTGTCTGAAATGAATATGTCAGTGTAGAGCAGACCAACATACCGGATGAAAATTTAGGGCTTGAAACAAAATCCCCAATGAAAATCACACTTTAATATGCAGGACTTTTCCACTAAATTGAGTGTTGGAGAGAGGGCTTGTACTGAACAATGAAAACGTTGCGGATAACGTTAGTTGACGAGATTCGCAACCGAATTTAGACAAATAACATTTTAGTTTCACTTGGGTTGAAACTAAATTAGTTAGATAATCCAGTCTACTGAAAAGACCATTGTTACTAATGGTTTTTGAAAGGATCTATTCAATTGGAACTTTGTATTCAAGCTTTGTGAATTATCCTTTATGTATATGATCTACTAGATTTGTTTAAATTACATTTCAGAAATCACTGCAATACATAAACTACATATTCTCCGTCCTAATTCACTCGAGAGTTCGAAAAGATGCCAAGGAGTAAGTGTTCTATCTGGATAATTTATAGGCTGAAATTATATATGCAAAATTTGACAAGAGAAAAGATGGAAACATAACATACTAAAATTAAATTATCTCCAATCGCTGGAAAGCGATCTTTCTAAAACATTATTAAATCAGTCAGTCACAAAGTACAAGCTGTTACGTATGTACATCGGTTCAAGTTGCTATACTCCATTGACACAGAGAGATGAAGTTATCAGGCTCAATCCCAATATAGTAGAGGTAGTAACAGTATCATTGGTAATGAGAATTATTTGGCATCAGAGACACTTATTCCGTGGTCCCAAAATACACGAGCAATGCTTCGAAGACACCTATGATCGGATACCAGCAACCTGCAAACATCCTCTCCTTAATGGCCATGTTTCACATTCATAAAATGGGACGGAGCGATCTGTCACACAGTAAACTCGACCTTTGGTTGGAAGGTGAATGTCTCGCCTAAGCCACAAGTGACGCAAGTTGGCAAAAACCAGTCGAGCTTTCTGAATATGTGCCGAGAAATAATCAGACACTAGGCCATCATGACCGACGAGACTTCCAAGATAAGTGAAGCGGTCGATGCGTCCAACTACTTCACTTCCAATCGCTAATTTAAGTGATGATGCAAACCAATCCCGAAGTAATATTTTACATTTGGAAGGAAAGAACTGCATTCCAAACATGCTTCCATTATTGCTTATGATGGTCAGGCGACTGCATATTGTCAGTGTCTTCACCAAAGTAGAACTATGTCATCTATGTATTCTAGGTCAACAAGTAAATCTCCTAGTAGAAGACAGACTCCGAAAAGTAAGCGGATGAAAGTTTTTTCGCTGAAAGCACGTCGATGACGAAGTTAAATAGAAATGGGGAAAGAGGATAACCCTGACGAAAAACCAATTAAGGAAACCAACTCCGATGATTCGCCATAAGCACTGACTCTACCAGTAGTGTTCAAGTAGAAAACCTGTGCAAGGTTAATGTGCTTTTTTGGTCCGCCTTGTAGTGACAGACACTGACACAGAAACTCACGATTAACAGAGTCGGACGCCGCCTCAAGGTCAAGGAATACAACTATAACCGGAGGTCGAAAGGTATGTCTGTTCAGAACCTGCCGAAGGGTGAGTATTTGGTCTAAATATCTACGTCCAGGTTTAAAAACCAGACTGATTCTCTCGGGTTTTCTCTTCAAGACCTCTAGTTAGACGTCGAGTATTATCGAGGCTAATATTTTAGACACTATATTAGTTAAACGGATTCGTCAGTAATTATCGCAAGAGGGTTTCTGTCCTCTTTTTATAACCTGGGACGATCAGCTATAGAAACCATTGAGATAGGATTACGTCCAGTCCTCAGATTTTAGCTAAGATTCTAGTTTATCTAACTGCTAAAACTGGACTACCATCCTTAAAAATCTCGAGTTAATCCATCAGGCCCTGTTGCTCTCTCGCTTTAGATTACTTAGTTTTTTCAGCTTCACTAAAAGTTAATGGGCCTACATCAGTTTACCATTCAGGTTGCTCGGACATAGTAAGTAAATGGCGTGTTGCTGAAGGCTAGTTGAAGTGTTTCGTAAAGTGTTCTTCCCAACTGTCCAATCTCTTGAATTGAGAGTGAATAATACTCTAGTCTATTTCCGAGATAGTTTCACTAACATCCGGATTTTTAATGTCCGTTTCCTTGACAATTCTGAACAGTTGTCTACTGTTACCTATCCCTACTGCCTTTCCATCTCTTTTGCTAGCCATCACTGCCCACGACAATTACGTATGCTTTTGAACAGCCTACTTCTAAGCTGCCTAAGCTCCCCATTGTGTTCGGAGCCAGACGGGATGAGTTTTCAAACATCTATCAGTTCTGTAGACGCCACCGAAATCCACTGGTTGTTCATAAGAGTTTGGTTTGAGTTACTAGTAGATATCGCTACTATTTTCATACCAAGCTACCTCAGGGTGGATATCACTCTCATGGTTGACTAACTCCTTTTATAGTTACTTCTGAAATATTTTCTTAAGTTTTCATCAGTAAGTTGAACTCTAAGGGATATTTTCTTGCTGTGGCTTTTCCCGTAAGAAGCAGACAAATACGTGCTCGAACTAGGGCATGATATGAGTCTAAATATGTGCTCTAGAATGAGCGACGGCTTTCTATCGAGCACCTTCAACGATGGCTAGTGACAGTAGGATCTATTTGAGTCCATCCGAGTCGATTATGAAAAGGCAACATCGCTGTAGATGATGGTTGTCCGAAGGAAACACCTTACTTCTGTCACAACCCTCTACAGTCAGCAGTACGACTTCGCCCTCGGGCCATAGCTCTTTTGAGTCATCACGATAGGCGAACCCAACCACGTCAGGAGGCATTATTAAACTTAGAGTTTTTCAAGAACTACAGCAACATATAGACTGCGGACCATTATCATTTAACAAGATCATAAAATGGAAACTATAAATAATTTTGCACAAACAAAATTTAAAAAAGGTGATTAACATTTAATTAAACTGAAACCTTTCGCTTACTCAGAACTATAAGATGAAGTAGGAAATAAAGAAGTCTGACGCTGTTGATGAAGTAAATGGGTAGACATTAAAGGATATGTTGTTCGTGTAATATCAGAATAACCAGTTAAGTTCGGATTTCTATAAGATGAAGAAATCGATTCATTTTGAGCTGAATCTTCTGCCTGTTGTGAAGTACAATGGGAGTTATAATTATGAGTAAGATGTTGATGCATATTTGTACCACTATTGTTATTAACAGTTGTTAGATTATTTGATGATATTGCCGAGTAAAATTGATCATAAACAGATGATGAAAGGGATTGAAAAGAAGCAGCAGCTACGGCGGCGGCGGCAGCAGCAACAGGATAAACACCAGAAGCAGTAGGATTTACTGTATGACTGGAAGACATAAAAATATTCCCAGAATTTGTAATAACTGGTGGTGGTGGTGGTGGTGGAGGGAAAATAGGAGATGCTGGATTGGAAACCGATGGTGTAATTAGTAAAGAAGGATATGTCATATTTGAATGAAATAAATGACTAAAATCTGATTGTGAATTCGTCGTTTGATGATGTTGATAATGAGGAGGAGGATAATAATTAGCATAAGATCCATTTGTGTTGTTTACAGTCATGAAATTCGTTTGATCTGTAGAAGCCATTGATGATGGCTGAGGCACTAAATAATTAGAAATGATTGCATAATTTATTTAATTTTATGATTTAACTGACATTTTTCAGATTTAAAAATATGAAGGATGATATTAGAAACTACATAAAAAACAGTAATCACACCTGGATGACTACTGACTGAATTATCAGTATGTAAGCAACTTATGTATTTCATAATATTCAACAGTAAAACTAAGGTGTCTATACTGAAAAAGGTTGAACAAATTTGAGCGCAGTAATAATTGGTTGAATGCTGAATACCGTATCCTTTACATGGAGAAACGAAATGTTTGTTAATTGTTTTATATTTTAAATATTATGAAAATTAATTTAATAATATAAGCCCAGTAAAATACAAATAGGTGATACTAGAAGAAGAATTTACAAAATATTCAGCTACTGTCCAAAAAAGTAATTGATGAAAGCAGAAAGATTTTAATAGTTCTTACTTTATAAATATTTAAAACAGAAAGGTTATCCATGACTAGATATAATCAATCATTTAAGACCAGAACATCACTTAAATCAACTGAGAATTGATCAGTTCATATAAATCATTACTGATGAGGATCTTGCACAGATTGAGTAGGTCAATGTGGATGATTTTAACTGGAACGCTGGGTTTAGTCATAAATGCTTGTGAATTTCTTTAAAATTTTTATGTGTAAGTCAATGATTGGTACATTGTCCCAGTACTTTCTACTGTTTATATACAAACGTAAAAGATTAAAACTATAATTAAAAACCCTTCATCCTAAACAGATCAGGATTATACTTATATTACAGTTATCACATACTTTTCTTCTTATCAAATGTTTCAAGGTTAATGAAAGTAACTTATGGTTTCATTGAAGAATTAAAGACATATCAAGGAAGAAAATCTCAGAATTAAATTACATATGTTCCTGGTATAACAACGCATGAAAACATGTGCACTTACTAGAGTAAAATCGGAGTCCAAATATGTGTCCCATAAGGAACGTTAGCTTTATGAAGAACATCTTTAAATATGGTTGATACGGTATAATCTGTTTCTGCCCATCGTTGGGCAACGACCTTAGAATGGAACAAAGGAGCCTGAGGGATAACTGCTCATAGCTATCCGTACAGAACTTAATCATAAGTTTCTTTCTTATTGGCTCTTTGCATTCTAGTACTTATCGCCACCACAGGAATTTTGAGGGGTAAAGGTGGTGATTGATGAACTGAGCTTGTCAGAAACATCGGTTCAAGTCCCAATGACAGGTGAGGGCTGCTGGTAGGTGCACACAACTGGTCTAGGTTTGGCTTATTTATCCGAGGAGCATATGTCTATATTTCTGATTGAGTTTGTGCACCTACTTCCATTCATTTTTTCCAATAAAGGCTCCCGTTTATTCTTTGTATTCTCCCTTAAGTAGTCGGTTGAACTAGAATACTGGGAGCGTGTTTATCAGTACCAGAATTGAACGACTACCCAAACTGAATGTGTTAATTCTACGATTAGCCTTTTCTGATCAGTTGTGAAAAGCCAGAATAGCTAGGAATTCTTATTATCCACGGTTATATCCTATCGCAATTACTTCCCAGTACAACTGATAGTGCGAATTTACCCTCGGACGTTAGATCTACTGCTCTTCAAACGGCCTGTCTGGCATGACAACGACAGAAAGAACAAGTGTCCTAGACAATGTAACTCAATTGGGCTGTAACAGAAATAAGCTTGACCACCACATCAAAGTAGCAGCTATGGTAGGAAGTTAATAATATAACCTAAACCCTAGTTCCGAATTTGTCACTCATGAGTAATGGATATATACAGCCACAAGAATTCTCATACTCTTTCAGTGACTGGAATTTGTATCATTCAGAATTGTAGCTGGGTAATTTTACTGACAGGATACTTAGGGATTAATCCTTTGTAGGGTTGTATTTGATAAACTTATTGGTTATTGAGAAGTAATCAAATTTATGAAGTCCGGTCAACAAAAACTGTCATATTTGATAGTTAAAAATGTACAGCATGAACACGAGTTTAAGTCAGGGTGAACTAGTATTACTTGGTTGAAGACGGTAAAAAGAACCAATCTAAACTAAGTATATCTATAAGTTAACCAACCTCTAATTGTTTACTCATTATGCCAGTTTAGTATAATAAAGTTGTACATTTTTCACTGAAAAATTACTTGAATAATAATTCAGGAATTATTTCAAATTGATAAATCCATACAAGGAAAAAGAATCTATAAAAATGAATTCTAGAAAAAGGCAAAAAGTATTCAGTAACGGTAGGGAAACTAATTTAAAGATAAAGTTTCTATAAGATCACTAACACTAGCTAAAACTCTGTCCATTAGCACTCTCGATGACAAATGATGATAATCCAGCTATTATTGGAAAGTATGAAGAGCTGGATTCTCTGCCCAACTATTATTCAACAGGGCTTATGATCTGGAGTTTCTGACTACTCTCCCAAGTAGTCTTGACGTTACATAATGTTGAAGAAGAAATATTCATTCAATCTCTCCTACTTTTCAAAGTCTCTATAAATAGTTTTACTACTTGACGAAATCAATCTTCGAACTCATTAAATCGTATACAAAACTATCTGTTCAAAAAATAAAATGAATATTTCTGTACATTATCAATTTATACTCCGGATTAAAGGTTGTACCTTAAGTTAGTCAACAATATTAGGTCAATGAAATATTCACAAAATTAATGAACCATAAGAATTAAAAAGGTTTGTGAATTCAACAATTTACTCAAATAACTAGAGTAAGTAGGAATCTATATGCAGCTACATAATTGGAAATAACTGCATTGTTCTAGCCTTTTTTTAATAAATGACGCAATTTGCCGAGAACATATGCATATATATATATATATATATATATATATATATGTTAATGTATGTGTACAACATATCACCAGTGTGTTATCACCCCGAACAAACACAAAACTTACATTTCATCAGAAATGCATAAAGTCTAGTCATTCAAACAAATCCTGTCATTCGTCGTGGATATAAAGTTATGCTTAGTCAGCGCATTGTAAAAGTAATATTTATAGGTTATTTCAGTGACATATATGCCACACTCTTCACGTGTATTATTGCATACACACAAATGATATAGTACCGACCAGAGGATGACTACTAATGTAAAGAAAATGTATGGGAAGTAAGCAAATAAATATTTATAACGTAAGCGGATTTATGTAGAAAAAAGTGGGAATACAGTGGAATGTTAATTTTTTCGTTTAAAAAAAAGACGAGAAAAAAAAGGTTAAGAATCGAAGAGCTTTGTGAAAGAAAAGAAGGCGACTATTCCCCCAAAAGGTCATCCTCTCTCACTACTTGTAATGAAATATGGGTTGACTAGAACAAGAAGTAATAAAATAAAACTGTAACAACGACAACAACAGACAAAACAGTCGGAATAAAGATTATTTTCTGTTTTGTACTATGTATGTGCTAGGAAAGAAAATGATTGTAAAGAGATACCCACATGTTCTTTTCATATATATATCCATCGAAATAGAGGTACTAGGAAGAGAAGTAGTACTACTAGTCAGACTTCATCCAATAGATATGCACACATACAGACACACATGGGACAAATATAATGATGGTTGCTACCACTATAAAAATAGTAATTTTAATGATGAAAATGATCTGTAAAATTATTTAGCCGAAAACGTTTTACATCTATTAATGGGAAAACTTGAGTGTATACCTGTTTTTTCTCATAGTTAACATTTTATAAAGCTATTTATACTATGAGACAAAATCAATTCAGAGTATGTAAAATAGATGACCATTATTTGAGACAATCTAGCGTAAATGTGAAATGCTTATAATCGTACTTATAATTGCTCTATATTCTCTCTATGCAATGATATGGATTGGTGGGGAGGGGTAGTTAAAAGTAGGTTTTCACTATTGGTGACGGGTTTGGGAATAACTAGTATACTGGATACAGGAACTTGTAATATACGAACTAATATTTAACACTTGTATGAAATTTAGAAGCTTCATCGTGATCTTACTAGTTATCAACTAATTATGTGAACAACAAAACAAAATGAATTGAACAGAATAATTATGTAAACATCCAAGCAACTCCTAGATATTGCAAAAGCATGGTTCATCTGTATTTAAAAGGTTGCTAATAAAGAACAAACAGTTCCCCGTATAGATCTGCAGTTCAAATGTAGATGTTTACACTAATAACAGGTTTCGCATGCCAGTTTTAGAAATCCTGAATGTTTATATCAGGTGTGATAAACTGGAAAGATGCACAACACAGACATAGTTATCTGTGATGCCGACAGTATTTTATAACAGATATATAAATTTAGTCAAACCATTATATTCAGTAACTTACTACACATTATTAATTATGCTGATAGGCAATTCACGTACCTGAGAATTAGTAATATGTTCATTTGAAGCACTTTGAAATACATGAATCTTCAAGAACACGCTCTTGATGAATAAAGTATTTCACTGTCACTTAAATTCATATACATAATAGTTTACTACCTCATCACAACTTTTAACGAACGTTGAGTAATAGATATTTAACCTAGTATTTTAATGGTGTAACTCCTCCTGGAGTCCCTCCAGGGACTACTGCCGGTCTCAAGCCCGGATAAAGGAGGAGAGTTGAGCATGGGGTTAGCGACCTCATCCCGTAGAAAACTAACTTGCTAAAAAATGCTAACCAGAAAAAAATATTCAAACCATTTAAACTCTGCCCTAGGAGTCAGAAGGTCTTCATTTAGAAGAATTATGACGCCTCATGATGAAAGCCAAGTTCCTTCGGAAGTCACGAGGCCAATGCCCATTCTGACAACCAGAGCAACCACTTATTTAGGTACATGGAATGCTCGTACAATGTGGGAGACTGGGAGAGTCTTCCAAATTGATGCAGAAATGAGGAGATACAATATAGAGGTGCTTGGAATCAGTGATACACATTGGACGAAAGTTGGACAACAGCGACTAGCTTCAGGGGAGCTCCT